GAGGGTGGAAGGATTGGGAGGTGGAGTACAGAGGGCAAAGCTCAGTTTGGTAATAGTCAAGGCAGACGCTGATGGATTTCCCCTTCTCCCCAGACCCCCACTTTGAAGAGCCAGGGCCGATGGTGAGGGGGATGGGCGGGACTGCTCGGGACTCTGCTGGTGTTAATCCCTACCCCCCCAAACGGCGAGAGCGGCCACCTAGGAAACCAGAGCTGCTGCAGGAGGTGAGGGACTGGGTTGAAGTATTTCACTGCTCTCACTTTAGAAAGCTCTAACTTCATGTTCTCTCCACTCTTTTTCCTATTTATGTCACTGTGTTTTCACCCCAAATTCTCAGTGTTGGTCACTGCTTATTTCCTTTTTTTTTTTTGGTCACTGCCTATTTCTCATCACCCTTTTGCCCCACACATGTGGCTCTGTGTCCTAGCTGCTTGCATTGCCCAGTTCCCATCTCATTCATGTTTTGTTTCTGGACTCTGATTTTTAGGAATCATTGCCACCTTCTCATAGCTCTGGATTTTTGGGCCCCAAACCCGAGGGCTCAATCCCTCAGGGGGAGTCCAGAGATGCAGGAACAGAGGCCCTGACCCCTCACATCTGGAATCGTTTACATACTGGTGAGTTCAGCTGAGAAGGAAGGACTGTGTTAGAGGACTTAGCGCAAGATGGACCATAGAGCTGTCTTTTCTTACTTCTGTGTGTTGGTGTTTTCCCAGCCACTAGCCGAAAGAGTTACCAGCCTGGCTCCATGGAGCCTTGGATGGAACCCCTGAGTCCTTTTGAGGATGTGGCTGGCACAGAGGTAAGTGAGAGTGGGAGGGAGTGTCTGAGCTGATGATGTTGAGCACTGGCTCTACTTGCCCCACTGTCCTGGGATGAGCGTGGGGCTGTCTGTCACATAGTCGTCTCCTTTCTATAGTTTGTGTATGTGTGTACCTCATTCAGGTATTGGGGTGCTTCCTGCTCTGACTTAACTCCTTCTCCACTCCTCTCAGATGAGTCAGTCTGACAGTGGGGTGGACCTGAGTGGGGATTCTCAGGTGTCATCAGGTCCCTGCAGCCAGCGAAGTTCCCCTGATGGAGGACTCAAGGGGGCAGCAGAAGGGCCCCCCAAGCGACCTGGAGGCCCCTCACCCCTGAATGCTGTTCCTGGTGAGGGTCCACCTGGCTCTGAACCCTCTGAACCTCCTAGGAGACGGCCACCTGCCCCCCATGATGGGGACAGAAAGGTAAATAACCAAGAAAGGATAAGAATGTTTCTGGGACTTTGGCCTTGCTTTTGTCTCCGTTTTTCTCTGCCTGTGTGTGCTGATTTGAGCTGCTTTTTCCTCCCCCGACCCCTACTTCACTGTGTTGCCCCACTCAGGAGCTTCCCCGGGAGCAGCCTCTGCCCCCTGGGCCCATTGGCACAGAACGATTGCAGCGTACAGACCGAGGCCCAGAACCTGGCTCCCTCCGGCCATCCCATCGACCTGGTCCTCCAGTCCAGTTTGGTACCAATGATAAGGTCTGTGTGGACTGAATCAGGGTGTCTTGGCTTGGGTGGAGAGAGGGAAAGGACTTGGAAGTGGGGGAGGACACGTGTCTGAATCATGGACCATCTCCCCTGCCTCGTGATCACAGGACTCAGACTTGTGCCTGGTGGTGGGAGACAGTTTAAAAGCAGAGAAGGAGCTAACGGCATCAGTTACTGAGGTAAGTGGGAGAGTGAGTTTTTGAGGACAGGCTTTGGACACCTGGAGGAGTGTCTGGGAGTGACCTGGGCATCCAGGTTGCGCAGATGGTCCTCTTGACAAGTCTTCTCCTTCCCAGGCCATTCCCATGGCCCGAGACTGGGAGCTGCTCCCCAGTGCTTCTGCCTCAGCTGAGCCACAATCCAAGAACCTGGCTTCTGGGCACTGTGGCCCTGAGACCAGCTCCTCAGGCCAGCGCTTGTACCCTGAGATCTTCTATGGCAGCCCTGGGCCTCCCAGTTCTCAGGTAGGTCTTGCCTCCTATTCAAGGACCTCTCTTTCTTTGCTGTCCCCTAAAATCAAGCCTTTCCCATTTGCAGTTTTTAAAATTTTCCTTCCTGCTTTTGCTGTAGTGGGTAGGGTGGGTGAGTTTTTCTTGACCAGGAAAACGAGCTGTTCCATTCTTGCTCTCCTGCAGGTCTCAGGAGGAGCCATAGACTCTCAATTACATCCCAACAGTGGAGGCTTCCGTCCTGGGACACCCTCACTGCACACTTACAGGTAAGACTTATCTCAGAAGGACATGGAACTGTGTTCAGGGAAAGAGAGAAGGGGAAGACACTTCTAGGGTACCTAGCGGGTGGTGGACTTCCACTTCAGACTAAAGGAGTTGACTGGTTCCTGATCTCTCTCCCCCGCCTTGGCCCAATTTCCCTCCAGATCACAGCCCCTGTACCTCCCCACGGGCCCAGCCCCGCCCTCAGCACTGCTCTCGGGGGTAGCTGTCAAGGGCCAGTTTCTGGATTTCTCCGCACTGCAAGCAACGGAGCTGGGGAAGCTGCCAGCTGGAGTTCTCTACCCTCCACCTTCCTTTCTCTACTCTCCAGCCTTCTGCCCTAGCCCTCTGCCGGACCCACCCTTGCTTCAGGTGAGAGGCGAGCGGATGTTGGGCTTAGGGGTAGGAGTGGGGTGCTTTGGGGGGAGTTGACATTGTCCTCCCTGTTCCCCAACAGGTGCGACAGGATCTGCCATCCCCCTCAGATTTTTATTCTGCTCCTCTGCAACCTGGTGGCCAAAGTGGCTTCCTCCCCTCAGGGGCTCCTACCCAGCAGGTACCTTTTATCTTCTCAGTCCCCTTTGTGTGCTTCACTTTCCAACTCTAGCGTTGTTTGTTACTTGTTTAGACTCCTCCTGGTTTTCTGACATTCCTCCCTGCCCCAGCACACACACCCATGTTTCTCATTACAGATGCTTCTGCCCATGGTGGACTCACAGCTGCCTGTGGTGAACTTTGGTTCCCTGCCACCAGCGCCGCCTCCTGCCCCACCCCCCCTCTCTCTGTTACCGGTGGGCCCTCCTCTGCAGCCCCCCAGCCTGGCCGTGCGGCCCCCGCCCGCTCCTGCTACTCGGGTGCTGCCTTCACCTGCCAGGCCCTTCGGCCCTAGCTTGGGGCGAGCAGAGGTAAGGTACAGGAGCAGAAGTGCTAGGGAGCCCCAAGACTCAGGGGTAAGGATTCAGTGTCAGGATGAAGAGGTGGAGAGGCGGGATGCTCATGAGACTTTTCTCCTTCAGTTGCACCCAATAGAACTGAAGCCGTTCCAGGATTATCGAAAACTGAATAGCAACCTTGGGGGACCTGGGTCATCACGGACTCCCCCGTCTGGAAGGCAAGAGAAGGGAATGGGGGTACGGACTGCCCATCTATCCCCAATGATTTACTTTCTTTGGGGACCATAGGTGAGTCTGAAGGTTGCCTCAAAAATCTTTTCTCCAGGTCTTTCTCCGGCCTCAATTCCCGTCTCAAGGCCCCACCTTCCACCTACAGCGGAGTCTTCCGCACACAGCGCATCGACCTCTACCAGCAGGTGAAGGAGAAACCCCTGTGGACACAAGTCTGAGTTGAGGAGTTTCCTCCTGAGTTCCCGCCGTCCATCTCTGACCTCCCTGTTTGACTTAACTTCCACATGTGCCCACCCCCCAGGCCTCCCCACCAGATGCCCTGCGCTGGATGCCGAAGCCTTGGGAGCGGACAGGGCCACCTTCTCGAGAAGGGCCATCCCGAAGGGCAGAGGAGCCTGGGTCCAGAGGGGACAAGGAGCCTGGATTGCCCCCACCCCGCTGAGGGAGTTCCCTTTGCCCCCCACCCCCCGGGGCTTGTATATAGATTATAAATATATAAGAGGGAAAGGGGTGGGTGGGGAAGGGTTGTGGGGCTGGTGCCTCGCTTCCCCTCCTCTCCCCTCCCCTCGTCCCCTATCCCTGGGGCCGTTTGTTAAAAAAGAATAATAAAAGGATTAAAAAAAAATCCAAAATGATTTGGGGGGTTGGTTGGTTGTAGTCTCTTATGTCATATTCAGTGCCAAGTGATCTGTAGAGTGGTTTCAGTTAGGCAAATAGTTGTTACTTTACCTTGGTGACTACTTCTATCTCAAGACAAGCTCTTGGTGTATCTTAGAAGTTTCCTGGGCCAGGAATTAGATTTTGTTTTTTGTTGCCAGTGAGGTTGGTCCTATAGAGCTTTGCTTGCACATATGGGGCCATGGTGGGACATCTGGATGGTAGAATGCCATTAGATTGTCAACCAGTGTCTTTACACAGCTTCTCCAGCAAGATATTTTGAGTCATCTGGCCTTTCACGTCCCTGAGCCAGCATTCCAGAGGTCTCAGCAGATACGGCAAAGGTTATAACTTGGCCCTAGGTTTCTGCCAGGTTTTGTTTGTCCAGCACCAGGCTAGCTAAAGGAGGGGGATGACAACTGCTTCTAAAAAGAAATAGTGGACAGCCCACAGCTGTGTGTCACTTTGGTCCTGACTGCAAACCAGAAGTGTCTTTATAGTCACAGACTGATCAAACAGGAAAGGTGGGTGAACAGTGGGCTCCTTGAACTGGGTAGACCAGTTCCACCATAGTCAAACTTGGCTGTTACCCTGGTACTACTGCCTGCAAGTCAAGCCAAGACTTACATAGGTCTGCAGCTACTTGGCAATTAAGTGGCTTTTTTACTGTTTTGAGAGCCTTATCCTCGTATGCACCTGAGCAGGTTTCTTTCATCGCTTTTGCATGAAAGTATTCCTTGATAATGGCCAACTTTAAAACAGGACACTGCTCATCTGTTCATGGTGAAATGTTAAAAGCTGTCCAGTATAGCTGGGTTGCTGGAAATTAGTTTATAAAACCAACTTCATAGAAGATTAAAGTGTTTATTTACACTATTTAATGAAGACAATTTCCAGACAAAGAGAGCCAGGAAAATCTGACTTTTTATTTCTTAAATACTGTGAAGGAAGAGGGGGGAAATGGTCCCCTGATGATGGAGGGCCATGGAGCTAGGGATCGTCAGCGAAGGCCCTCTGGGCATTCGGGAAGCGCTGGGGGCTGTAGTTGGGGTCTTCCTGCAGTCGCTTCTGTATGTCAGCCCGTAGCTAGAGAAAGAGAGCAAAGGAGGTTGGAGTGGTACAGGTGCAGCCCCTAAGACCCCAGCAAGCACGCAAGCCATCCCCTAGGAGGTACCATTTCCCCCACCAGCCGTACACTGTCCAGGAACCCAATAATAGCATCACTGAGCCTTCCCAGGTGCCTCCAGGAAAACATTTTAAAACCAAGTGGTAGTCCCAGACTCACCAGTTCACCTCTGAAAGGATCCAGGGAAAGGACCCTAGCCCAACCCCTCCCACTAGACCATCCCTATGCTGCTTCAAGGTGGGGGCACCTGCTGCCTGTAGCTCTCCTGAACCTCTGGTGCCTCCAGGTCCCGGCTCAGGCTCTCGGGGCTCGTCAGGGGCCGAGCTCCGGCTGCCTTAGCTGCCCGGCTCACGGCCTCTGAGAGAAGCAGCTGGGGGCCCTCACCCTGCATCGTCTGGGGGACGGGGTTGAGAGGGAAAAGAGGATCAAAGTCAGATCCAGTGCCACCACCCAGTTCACCCTTTGCACGAGTCAATCACTGAGTCTCCATGCTAGCGGAGAGAACGGAGACAGTCCATGTGTAGTTTTGACAGCAGAAACGCCTTCCTAATTTTGTCCAGCTCTGGCCAAAAATGGCATTCGAATGTACTGGACTTGGTCTCCAAAGCAAGAGGGAGAGGATGGGTCAACCCATCCGGCATTCTCAGCTAGCCCACAAGAGGATGCCTGCCTTAAAGATGGGCCCTAGTCAAATGGGGTTTGGGCAATTGTAGGGTGACAAGACTGCTGGCAAACAGCAATGCAAAGGTCCCAGAAGGGTTTCCTTGTCAATTAAATGAGGGGACTAAAAACTAGGATGAATTCCTCTAATTAGTTTGATTCTAAGCACAACAGGGGAAATAGGATATAGAGAGATCCTCAGGGAAGGGGCAAACCAACCTTGCGTCTCTTGGCGGGCATACCACTGAGGTAGGCATCGCTCAGAGGGGGCTGCGGTTTCACCTTCCGCTGGCTCTGAATGTCCTGCTGGATAATAGGGACCCATTCCTGGGGAGGGAAAGATGATCAGAAAGTAGCAACCACCACAGCCTTCAGCTGCTTTAATCCACCAATCCCCTCCTGACACTCACTGGGGGGACTGCAGCTGCCCAAGGTTCTGTCTCAGAGGAAGCGCCATCCTGTTCGTCTCGGGAGCCCCCCTCAGGAGCAGGAGGTGGGCCTCGGGACATGGCCTCTTCTGCTGTTGTTCCAGGGGCCGGGGAAGCATTCTCCCGCTGGGAGTCAGACAGTGGGAAGACCCAGGCTTCAGATTTCTCAGCCTCCAGCCCTTCCGCCCAGCCCTCCACTCCATGTCAGCTGGCTCCTCAACCTCTCCCTGGTACCTGAGGCTCAGGGGAAGTTCTCTCTGATCCCTGAACTTCCATTGGCTCCTCAGGAAGTGTCTGTGAAAGGGGGCAGAGAAGGTGAACACCACAAAAGACCCTCTCTCAGATCTCTCTGGTTCCCTCAAGTTCCCTAAGGCCACAGCCCAAGAGGGCCAGCTTACCTGAGGGGGATCCCCAACCCGGCGAACATATCTGAGAATGGCATCAGGGCCTACAGGCATGTGTTCCAGTACCACCTGCAGCCTCAGTCCCATCATAGTGGTCAGCCAGCTCACCAAGGACGGATTCACTCCACGAGACATGCGACGCTGGGGGAAGAAAGCATACTTGAAACAAAACCCTCAACTGGCCTTTGAAAGGCACAAAAGTGTAAAGGGTGGCAGTTTGGAGGAAAAAACTTGCAGGATACCAAAGAAAACCTGAGAAAAAGCAAAAGGCTGGGGATCTGGGGTGAGTAATGCTTACAATTCGGCCATTGATGACAGCAGCAAGCTCCATCTGCTGTCCCCCCAAGCAGTGCAGGTTCAGGGCCAAGCATTCAAACAGGCCCTGGTTACACAGCTCCAGCAATCGGGCCCCAAATCCACTGTCTGTGGGCAACACAGGACAGAATACTGGTACCTAGCAGCCCTGCACATCCAACGTGCCCCCTCACCCTGGCTCAGCCAGCCCCTGACCTGTGCAGTGCATCACATGAGCAGCAATGCTATTAAATTGCTCTTGGAGAAATTCCAGGTTTGTTCGGATGATGTCCACACCTGGCTGAACTTGCACCAAAGACTGTAAGAGAAGACACACAGAGACCCCCAAATCAGAAACCCTGACAGACTGGGAGTCAGGGAAGAAGCAGTTGGAACAACCACCACCCTGACCACAGTAAGCAAAGGAGCGGCTGGGAAAGGGATACTCACAAAACTCTCCCGCACATATTCTTCAAGCCCCGTGATCAATGCGTGGGTTGCCGTCTGCGGGCGGGTGGAGACAGCACAGGTTAGAACAAAACCCCACCCCTCAAGACATGTCCCCCTCCTCCCCTACCAAGCCCAGAACTTCGGCTGGGGCAGTCACAGCTTTAGGCAAGGCATAAACAAAGTCAGAAGTAAGGAACAAAAGGTGAGATGGAGAACTCTGGGCCCAAGGTCTTCATTTACCCGGATGTTACCAGGTGTGGGCTCCTGGCCACCCAGGTAGTGCTGGTGAAAGAAAGACCGCAGCTGGGGCTGGAGTCGCTGCAGGGGCTGGAAATGCCCGTGGAGCAGCATCACCACATCCACCATGGAAAAGTTCTGGCACAGAAGAGAGAGCAGGGCCCCGAAGAATCCTAGGGACAGGGACTGAGGTCAGCAGTGGCCTTTACCACCGGGCCTGCCCTCCAGCCCATCAGCCTCATCCCACCATCAACAAAGGCCACCCACTCTCCCCTGGCTGCCCCATCCCCAGAGAAGGCCAGGGCACCCTTATCTGCTCACCGAGAGCCCCATCGGCCCCAGGCTCAAAGATGTTGCTTGACCCACTGAGGCGCTGTATGAAAGCAGCGATGCTCTCACTGCTGCCAGCCCGCGCCCCCAGGGAGCCCAGCAGTGAGCTCAGCACACCCTGCACCACTGAGGTGAAGAACTCCAATGGCAGGCTCTCAGGACCCACGCTGCCAGGACTCCCGCTGCCACCAGAAGGGGACCCCGGTGGGGGCGCTGTCTGCTGCTCTGGGGCCGGAGGGGGTGGTGGGGGTGGAGGCGGAGGAGGAGGGGGAGCAGCTGTTTGTGTTGCCTGCACAATAGAGAAAGAATAAAGAACAGAGGGTGAAATCAGAATGAGGACATAGAACAGCATCATGCTTAGTTGCTCTGTCAGTCGTGTCCAACTCTGCAACCCCATGGACTGTAGCCTGCCAGGCTCCTCTGTCCAAAGGCATTCTCCAGGCAAGGATACTAGAGTGGACTGCCATGCCCTCCTCCAGGGGATCTTCCCAACCCAGGGATCAAACCCAGGTCTCCTGCATTGCAGGCAGATTCTTTACCAGCTGAGCCACCAGGGAAGCCTGTGAATACTAGAGTGGGTAGCCTATCCCTTCTCCAGGGGATCTTCCTAACCCAGGAATCAAACCGGGGTCTCCTGCATTGCAGGCAGATTCTTTACCAGCTGAGCTACCAGGGAAGCCCCAAAACTGGCACTGGGGAGGCACAAATCCACAGGGGTCTGGAAGGTGTGGTGCTGCTCCAGTCTTTGCGCCTTACAGCAAAATACACATGGCGGCTTCTCCTAAGCTGAGTCAGGTTGAGCAGTTACCTCGCTCGCTCTGAACGGGTTAGCTCAGGAAAGCAGTGACACAATTACTGTGCTTCTCTCTCCCAGCCCCGTTTTCCTCATCTACCAAATGGAAGGTGCTGAGACAATCAATTCCCAAGACTCCTTCCCAATGGCAACAAGACAGCCAGTACCTGGCTGGGCTCAGGAAGAGGAAGGCTGAAGCGGAGAGTCAGCCAGCCACTCACCTGCAAGAAGTCCGTCATGCCCTGGAGAAAGGCGGGCACACCAGGCATCGCCACAGTAATGGTGGGAGAAGCCACACCAGGCCCTCCAGTTCCCGGCCCAGCAGGCCCCAGCAGGTTCCCCAGGAGCTGAGAGAACTGAAGATCAGAGGCGGAGGCTTGAGGGGGTGGAGGCTGGGCGGGCCCCCCGGGGGCAGGGCCAGCTGTGGTAGCGGTGTTGGTGGTACCGGAACTGGCTGACGCAGTGGCAGGGGCTGGAGGTGGAGCCATTCCTGGGGTCCCCTGAGCTACAGAGACCAGAAGAAGACAGCTGAAGGCTCAAGGAAAACAAAGCCCCACAGCATCTCCATTCTGGTCTCCCCAGTAGGAAAGCAAGAACAAAGGAATATGGAGAGAACTGGGAAACCGCTTCCATCTGAGGTGGGGAAGGACACGGACTCACCCACAAGGACAGGCTGCATAAGAAGCTGCCCCACGAGGCCGCTCACCATCTGGGCTAAAGAGGCGTTGGTACCCAAACCAGCGCCCGGCTGAGGGGAGAGGACAAGGGCAGGCTTTCAGACTTGGCCTCTCCACGCCCCGCCACAGGAGTTTCTCCCCACATTCTTCCCTGACGGGACTCCCCAACCCCTACTCACCAGAGCCCCTGAGACCGGGGGCCCCCCAGGATGGGAAGGCCGAGCCTGTGGAGGGGTGGGCCGGGCAATCACCAGCCGGGTGGGAGCTGTTGGGAAGCCTGGCACCTGCTGTCCTGTGGGCGGCAGAGGGGAGAGACCGAAGAGGGCTGAGGGCCCAGTCTGAGCAGGCCAGCAGACGGCGCCCACCACCGTGGACCGGGCCCCCCCCAAGGCTTCCCCTTTCAGGTTGTTACCTGCGGCCGCGGAGGCAACAGCTGCCACCATGGCCTCATGAGTGATCTGGTGGGCGACGGCGTGCATGAACTCAGGGGGCAGGGAGGGCAGCTGGATGAGGGTGGAGCCTGGGGGGTGGGTCTGATGTAACCTTGACCCTGGACCCCCTTCAACCCACCCACTAGGTCCTACCCCTTCTCTACCCACAGCTCGGCCTGCTCTGATGCCCTCACTCTTACCCAGGGTCTGGCCATGACCAGGGGGTCCTAGGGGGCCAGTGGGAGCACTCGGAACTCCACCAGGCTGTGTGCCAGAATCTGGGCAAGGAGACAGAGACAGTGGCTCTGAGACAGGCAGGGCCAAGGCCTAACTGGATCCTCCCAAGATCAGCGTGCTTCAAGCCTCCACTCCCCCAACCAGAAAAATGGCCTTTCACTCCATCTAAATGGGGAGGAGATGCTCCCTTCACCACGCACACAACTCTCTGAGGACAAGCCGTTCTTCCTGCCCCTCCCCACACGCGCCAACTTAAACAGCCTGTGCTCTGCTTCCTTGGCCACCGCCATCAGCCTTGGCCTCTCCTTTCCCACCCTGGCACCCCCACATCTCAACACCAACCCCAGACCCCTCCTTGTGCTGCTCTGCTCTGCCAGCAGCTGTTCCCAGCTCACCTTGGATGTTCATGTGCATCATGACCACGGGTTCCACACTCTGGTGGGAAATCCGGATGACCCTCGGGTGGCTGGTGGTCGGTGGGGGAGCCGGCCCTGGCGGGGAAGCCCCCTCATTCGAAGACTCAACGGTGGCAGAAGAGGGGGCCAGGGATGAGGCCTGCCCAGCACCAGCGGGAGGTGCCTCCGCACTTGGAGTCGGGGGGGGCCGTGTCCCATTCCCCGTCATGGTCACAGTGGTCCCCACATTGATCTGGACAACAGAGACGACGGGGCAGATGTGAGAAAAACACGAGAGCCTAACCCAGAGCACCCCATGATACACTTCTAAAGTCTCCTCCATCCTGGGTCACCATGTTTCCCAAGTCTGCTCCCCTCCCAACCTCCTTGGAACCCAACAGCCACGATGGATCACCATCAACAGCCCCCTATCCGCCTGCATCCAGGCTCCCCTGATCCACCTGGATGGGGATGGCCGCCTGCTGGAGCACCATGGGGGTGGTGTAGTGAGACATGGGCCGGACCACGTGCAGATGACGAGGGGGTGCACAGGCCAGATTGCAACGCAGGTCGGACAGCGCCACAAAGGTGTTGCCCAGCAGCCGCAGGCTCTCCCCCACCAAGTTGATCAAGCGCTGGTCCTCCTCACGGCCCTCTTGCTGTACTCCCCGGGGCCAAACACAGAAAAGCAGAAAGCATTAGGCTAGGATCCACCTTGTTAAAAAAGTAATGCCTTCTTGAGATTATCACATCCTCTATGTCTTTTGAAGAAGGAAATGGCAACCCACTCCAGTATTACTGCCTGGAAAATCCCATGGACAGAGGAGCCTGGTGAGCAACAGGCCACAGGGTCACAAAGAATTAGACACGACTGAGCAAGTGAGCGCTATGTCTTTAGGTACATCCTCTGAAGCTTCTGTAGACACCAAATCTTTGCAAGTAAGCTCTATTTTATACACACAAATAGCTTCCTTTGATAATAAATTCTACAATGAATCAGTAAGTTATCACCTGCTAATCTCCCTTACTTTATAAACTTCCTAAGTAACTCATTTAGGTGATCATGAAAGTGCGAAGACAGTGAACACCATAAAGATGTCAGGGAGGAAAAAAATCACTTGCTTCCTAATCTAAAGAGAAACTACTCTGTAGAAGACGACATCTTTTGGGGCGCGGGGCAGGGGGAAGTGATCTACATTTCACCCCACTCCATCTGGGGGTGCTGGAGGCGAGGGGGTGGGTGGGCTCACATTGTTGTTGTAGTCCGTGGTGGCAGCGGCGCCCAAAACCTCATAGTAGCGCTGCAGGAAGGGCTGGAGGCGGCTCTCAAGCCGCTGCAGCTCCTGAAGCACCTCGACGTACTCCGCAGGCGAAGGGTGGCTGTGGGCAACCCAAAGTGGCCGTGAGCCAAGGCTTCCCTCAGACTCCTGCCCTTGCTACCCGTACCCCACCTCTCCCTGGCCTCCCAGAGCCCCAGCCCAATCCCCCCACTCCTCTTGGAACTAGCAGAGCTTCTGTTCTTTAACCTCACGCAGGGGGGAAGATGGACAGGGAGAGACAAACTGCTTTCACCCTTCCCACCACACAATCCTGTACCTATAATAGCAAATCACTAACTCTTAAAAACCAGATGGGGCCTCTGGGTCCTCAGGGGAGAGAATCTAGCCACCTCCAGGAGCACCACGTGGATTTCCTGACCCGAAGGAGGGCAGTGCCTCTGGCTCAGCGGCCAGCCTCAATCTCATTTACCTACTCCAGATCCCCTCCCTGCCCCTCAACACTAATCACAAACACCACCTCTGAACAATCCTTTTTCTCTCATCAGACCTTTTCCTGGTCCTTACACTTCACTTAGAATCCCCAACCCAGCCCCACCCCCAAAATGTGCCCTTCCCCCTCTCACTTGGGTGCATTTGTCTCTGGGGCAGATGCTGGGCCCGCTGGGGCTGGGCCTGAAGGGGTGAGCTCTGGGCTCTGGGTAGAGGAACGCTCCTCCACTTCTTCCGCCTCCATGGGCTCCCGAGGAGGCACTTCACTTTCTACCGGTTCTGATGTTTGGGAGGTCAAGGCCACTGGCTCTGGGGCCACCGTCGGCGTCTGGAGAGGCGGTTGGCTGTGCTGGGCTTGGGTCCCGCCTCGGCACTGAAGCAGGGAAAGAGTCAGTACAACAAAGGCAACATGAGATTGCAGCAGATTACTCAGGTCAGAGCAGATTGAATGGAGAAGGGGCACTAACTAGGCTCCCTGAAGACAGGGCTCTGCATCTGAACCTTTGACTCCCTAAACCTTACACAAACTAGATGTATGACCAACACCTATGATACAAATAAACTATTAACAAAAACTAGGGACTGCGGTTTCCTAACCTCCAAGAGAAAAGAGGAAAGGACACTGGCTGCAAACACGAACTAATGAAGCTAGGCCATCCCAGCAACAAATATGATAACCAAGGAACAGGAAGGCAAGGAATCCTTCTTTAATTGCAAAGAGAATCAGCAGGGACAGGACAGCCTCAAAAGAAAGATACATTTTCTGCCCCAAAGAGCAAACACTGCAGAGAAGAGATTAGATTAAGAGGGGAGAACCCAGTGGATGTGAGCAGTCATACCCTCATCCCCAGGCTGAGACAAAAGGGGTAGGGAGGATGGAGTGAGACAGGCAGACAATGGCCAGCCTTGCCCACTCACCTCCATTCGGGAGAGTAAGGTCTGTATATCCCTTATCATATGCTGAGCCATCACCAGCCGCACTCGGGGCTCACTCTACAATGAGAGAGGGGAAATCAGGGCAGGTTGGAGATAAAGCCAAGCGCTCGATTACCTACTAAACCAGGACCCAGCCCCATCTCTTCAGCCAGACCCACCCCCCACTTCGTGGCCTCCTTCTCCCAGATCCCCTTCCTTGACCCTCCCAGGCCCCATGATACCTGAATCGGGGCCTGTTCCATGTTGATGTGAACATCCACAGCAGAGCCGTCACTCTGGGGAAAGGGTAAGGGAAGTTGCTCTGGGAGAAGCCAAATACTAAGGCCCCCACACTTCCACTGATTCCCTGGAGCCCGACCCCTCTAGCTCCTCAAAGACAGAGGCCGTTACCAGACCAGAGGGCCCACCAAAGCCCATCTAAAGACTGAGACACCTCTCTTATGAACTCTTGGCTGCTACTACAACCAAAACTGCCCCCACAAAAACCCTCCCATGAGGAACACAAGCTTACGGGAAGATTGAAGGTTCCAACCATGACATAGCTGTTGGCATTCCGGTCATGGACAGAGGTCCCAGGCCCCCGAGTACCAGGCGGGGGTCCCCCACCATGGGTGGCTGAGGTGGACCCTGTTCCAGAAGATGCTCCAGAAGGGAGCTGAGTCTGAGGAGGAGCCCGTTCCACAAGGTGAATAACCTTTCCCCCAACATCTGCAGAAAAAAGATACACACCAAAACATTACATGATCGGGTAAACCCATGGCCTCAGCTCACTGCTCTAGACAGCAACCTCAAGCTCCGCTCTGCCTCCCCCACCCCCTTACTGTATTCTTGGAGCTTCTTATCATCCTGCAGAACTCGTCCCTGGTAGATAAGCCGTTGTTTCTCAGACGGGATGCTAACAGAAGCAGCAATATGCTCCTTAAACTCCTTTACATTCATCTGTAGGGAAGAAGAAACTTGACAAGGAATCAGGGAATGGAAGAAAAAGGAAGGACAGAAGAGGGACAACTGACTTGTAAGGGGTAAAAACCTTCTCTTCCTAAAATCACTACCCATCTGTCTTAATTGTGAGGTAATTATTGAGCAAAGCCCTAAACTAAGGCAATACTTGTCAAAATACATACAATAAATGTAAGGAACTTCAGGTTATTGGCCCAGGAGAAAACTACAGGGCTGAAGAGCAGAAACACCAACTGACATTCTCTTCTCTCCTTCTCTGCCTGGCTCCAAAAGGAATGTGTGTGCCTAGAGATACCGGTGACCCCTCCCCAAACACAAAATGACACAACACTGTAATCTCAAAGATAAAAGCAATGACAAAGAAGATGTGGTGGAGAATCAGGTTAAGGAAGGCAGACTCAAGCAAGAAGGGGCAAAATCAGAAAAATATTTTTCCTAACTAGACAACTGACTTGTGAGAAGTACCCAGCTGTTCCTAATCACAAAAGCCTACACAGTCTCTTTAAATACATGTAACAATGTGTTTAAAACTATGGCTCAACCTTCTTACCACTTTGTCTATTAGGGATCTACCTACATTATGAACATTATGGGATCTAACTTCTATCCTTTAAAAACACAGCATAGACCTCATCAGTTTTTAAGACACTCTTCTACTTTAGGTCCTAGTGTTCTGTTTGCCTTCCCAAAGGCAGGAGCCACATCTGTCCCTTTGGGCTGGGGCTCATCTATCAGGTTGGCATATATATTCCTCCTTCCTTCTTTCCCTCTGCATTGAGTTTTATCGAGGCGGAGGAAGGCAAAGAAAATCGACCTCACCCAACAAAAGCCAAAGAGGAAACATCAGAAAATGTTCTGGCTACTACATGAACAAAAAAATCAATGAGAGAAAATTTGAAAACCATAATATCAGGCTCTTCTCTCAGGATAAAGAACCTGTAAGAGGACGAGTTAATGGGTGTCTCTCAGAAGTACTGAGAGGTCTCACCTGGGCCCCCACAATAAAGGTCCGGGTCTGAGAGTCCAGGGTCTTCACCAGTACCTCCAGGCTGTCAGGTTCCTCCATAGTGGTACTGGTACTATCATTGGGCTCCATGGCCGACAGCTCTCTAAGGAAGAATGTTAGGAGGAGGCCCGCTGTCGCCTAGAGCAGATTTTTATATACCCGGAAGCCTCCCCTGCCCGAGACTCCGCCCCATACCTAAAGAGTTTCTCCCACACAAGCACACACACTCACACCCGCCCCCATCCCCCTTCTGATTCCGGGGCACAGGGAGAGAAACACAAAGGGTAAGAGATCGACGGCACAGGGAGCCGGAGGGCGGCAGGTGGGAGGGGCTCAACGACGCCAATCACAGTAAGGGAGGGCCAGTAGCGCTAGGAAGACGGGAAGGAAGGAAACACGAGACCGGTGTCATCACCGGTCGCGGTAGGACAAGGGCTCGAGAAGTCGGCAAACCCCGGGGACAACCAGAGAGCGAGGGTCGCGCCAGACTCTGCGGAGAAAGTGGTTTCGCGCACGCGCGCCACGCCACGCCCATCGAACCCGCTTAAGTCACTAGAGACCCGAAATGACGAACACTCACGGGGGGCCAGATCGGCGAACTGTCTCGCTCTTCCACGTACCCTCGGTGCTCTAGCAGATCAGCACAACCAACACACTCCAAACACATACACACACTCCAAACACACACATACACACACCCTACCACCCAGCTCCGCCCCCGACTTCCCCCACGGTACCGTCACTTCCGGTCTCCCCCAACCTGCCACCGACGGCCACTTCCGTTTCCCCGATAGTATTTGGGGATCGCGAGGCGGTACTTCCGGCTCCCCCCAGGTCCCCAAGGTTTACTTTTGTGGGGCTCTTCCAGAAAATCCGCGGCCCCAAATAGTGAGTTCCTGGGGGCGAGACGGGCCGGGGCCGGCCTAGATGGGAGGGAGCCGAGCACTCCGAAGAGCCGCCGCCACCGCCGTCGCCCGGGGGACCGTACTGCGCCTGCGTGCGTCTTACTACGCATGCGTGCACACTTAGGCACCTCCCCACCCAAGCCGACGCTGTTCTTTTCTCCCCTGCGCGCGCTTAAGCAATAGGGGGTTGTGGTGGCCGCCATAAATGCCTGAAAAAAACACTACGAGATGCGACTCTTCGACTGCCTCGAGAGAGGCTTTGAGCAGTTGTGTGGATCTTGGAGTCTGGAGACTGGGGATGGTGCCTCGCTAATGTATGCTGAAGTCTTGGTTGGCAGAGAATTTGAGGCGGCACTGTCCAGGCCACCTAGAATTCTGTCTTCTCTTCATCGTCCTCGCTGAGCCACTCCTTCGGCGCCTCCGGAAGTCACCCTTTCCATAGGCGGTTGGAGGTGGTTCTCGAGCCGATTTACGTGCGGTGGCGTCGTTAGGCCTGACCTCGGTTTTGCCCGGTGGGCGTTTTGTGGCGCCATGTTCTTCCCCGGCGGTGTGCCGCCGAGGGGATACGCCATGTTTTGGAGAAGCGAAGGATTTAGTATCTTTCAAGACTTTTGTCTTAAAAAGGACGACTCCGAGTTTCGGAGTTGGAAACAAATGGGGTCAGACTGGAATGAAATACAAGACTCTGACCCTAGGGGATTGAGAGGGCCGCCTAAAGGCTTCTACAGGCGGAAGGTCCGGTAGAGTTACCGTCCCTCTGCCCTCTTCTCCCCCCGCCCCTCGGCCAAGGGCCTGGGCCCCACAGTGCTGCCGCTCCTCCGGCCAAACCCGTTGCTGCCGGTGTACCTGTCTTCGGTGCCTGTCCTTTCTGGGACGTGTAGCTTACACTTAAGTCCCGGTACTAAAAGTTTTAATAAGCATCTGTATAGTGAGCCCTTAGTTGGCGCCAATCAGTTTGCTGAGGGTTTAATAGCCTCACATTTAATAGCGTCTCAACATCTAACTATTACATCCCTTTTATGGTGAATGTCAGTGGCAGAACTGACAAATCCAGGCCTACCAGACTCCCTTGGGTCAAGCACTTCTATTTTACTGCCCCAATAGCTTGCATTTTAGTTTTTGTTATAAAAATATAATGAACCCTCAGCTATTCATCACCCAAATTTTATTCTTCAGCTAAATCGCAAGCCCAGAGCAAGCCTCACCTCTCAGAACAAATCTTTATGGCAGCCTGTGGGTTATAAATAATCCATAAAGGAAGTCCCATCTTCTTGGCACTGGCCACTGACTGCTTCTTGACAATTCTTTACCTACCTCCTATTACTTGAGAACGTAGCACCCACGAGAGACTATTAAGTGCTTTACAAACATTACTATTAATTGTAGGGAATACTTACTTTGGATTTATGTGCAGGCCTTTGCTAAGGGCTTTATATGCTTTAGCTCTTTTAATCCTGTGGGACTGATGATTTGCTCATTTTATACATGAGAAAACAGGCAAGATTAATAAAATCGTCCAAAGTAAGGGTTTGGACCCACCCTGCTTGACACCACTGTCTATTTAACCACTAGAGTCTGTAGCTTCTTGCAGTAATAAAAATTAAGTGAATGAACTCGTGTGTCAGCAGACTTTTCTGGAGGGTGTACATAGTTTCTCCAATGAACAGCTTCAGAGAGAAAGCCTCCCATCCACATACTTCAGCACCTGGTACATACCTGTTGTAAAGCACTTACCAGGTGGTATTGCAGTGATGTGTTTACACAGCTAGTTCTCCTTAGACTGACTTCTTCAAGGCCAGGGACTATGGCTTACTTTTATGTTCCCAGGGCTTAACCAGTTCCTGACAAACAACTGGAACTCAAAAACAGTTTGCTCAGTGAGTGACTGGTAGAATCAACCCATCTCTCTACTGCACAGCACAGCAGATATCCCAGCTCAGACAGGGTTTAAATGATCACCTGGAGGTCTCAGCTGTCTTAACTCCTGGGAGACCCTGGACATGCCAGGATGTACTGTGGAGTGGTTGCATTTTGAAGAGGGGGAGGAAGTCCTGAACACTGTAAGTAATCCATGGTTGGGTTGGAAAACAAGAGTGAAGTTACTCATTAGCGGGTGAAAGGGTCAAGGGTCGAGGCAAGGGGGCTGGAAGCAGACTATACTGAGCAGCGAGTTGGGTAGAGCAGTTAAGGCACCAGCCACTCCACGCAGAGCACCAGCTCCCTCCTGCCTGAAGATGTTCCACCACATTTGGGCAGCTCTTCTCTACCTCTATGGCATTCTCCTTAACTCCATCTACCAGTGCCCTGAGCACAATCAACTGACAACTGAAGGAATGGATGGGAAAGAGGTATGCACTGAGCATGTGGCAAGCTGCTGAGTTGGGGGTGGGGGGTGGGGGTCTGATGGACTAGGGTAAGAGGCCCAGCATGACCAGAAAGCCACACTGGAAGGAAGAAAGGGTGTGAGTGTTGTGATGATGAAAGCAATAAATAAAAAATATATATATATATATATATATATAAGTACTATGGCCATCAATATGAAGACATGTAGAACTGGAGGGTGGGGTTTACTGAAGAGGAGCAAACAGGAAATGTCATTTAATGATTCCTTGTCTTGGATCCAGTCTTTAGCTGGAAAAAGGCAGCCAACACCCTCATCCCTAAGTATTGTCATTCTGACTGATGAAGAGGTTGGATTCTGTAGTGAGACCCACCTTCTTCTCCCTTCGTTGTCTCTCCAGTTCCCAGAGCCCCACCTGGGCCAGTGGTATTTTATCGCAGGGGCAGCTCCCACCAAGGAGGAGTTGGCAACTTTTGACCCTGTGGACAACATTGTCTTCAACATGGCTGTGGGCTCTGCCCCCATGCAGCTCCAGCTTCGAGCAGCCATCCGCACGTGAGTGGTGGTGAGGCAGAGGCACCAGTAGGTGTGGTCTCTGCCTAAAGTGTGAGCACCCGCCCACAAAGAGCTGGGTTCTTTGGCATACCCATTATTCTTGGCCCACTTGAGTTCAGTAGCTTTGTTAGTTTTCCTCCGGAGAGAGATGGACCTAACCATCCCTTCATAACTTGAAACCCAAGGGGACCCAGGCTTCCAGAAAGAGTAAGATTGAATAGAGGCTGGTACTGAGTGGTTGAGGTGTCACTCAAGTTTTTCCTCCTTGCCACCACCACTTCTGCAGGAAAAATGGACTTTGTGTGCCCCGGAAATGGATCTACCACCTGTCTGACGGGAGCACAGATCTCAGAACCGAAGGTTGGTTTTCTCCAGCCCTCACTCTCCTTAGGCCCCCTGGGCTTGCTTGCTTCTGCATCTCTGTCCTCACACTTTCCCCCCAACCCTGACAGGCCGCCCTGACATGAAGACCAAGCTCTTCTCCAGTGCATGCCCAGGTGGAATCATGCTGAAAGAGACAGGCCAGGGTTACCAGCGCTTCCTCCTCTACAGTGAGTGGGGAGGGCAGGCAAGATCTGGGGGAAAAGAGGGAAGGAGGGGAGATGGGGGTTGGGAGGAGGCAATAGAGTCCCTTTCTCTGAGTCCTGTGACATCATCCCAGGAAGGGCTGGCTGCTTCCCTGAGGTCCTCACCAGGGGCCATGCTGAGAAGCAGGGGCTTTGATGTGCCTGGCCCTCCCTTTCCAGATCGCTCACCCCACCCTCCTGAGAAGTGTGTGGGGGAATTCCAGTCCCTGACCTCCTGCCTGGACTTTAAGGCCTTCTTACTGACCCCCAGGAATCAAGGTGAGGGGTTAAAGTCTTACGGAAGACAACTAGGACTCACCAAGTCTTCTGTGAGAGCTGGATGAAAGGGACTCAAGTGATGTCATCAGGGGGCATGGCCAAAGGCTGACATCATCACACTGGCTATGTTGACACTTCCATTTGTGTCATAGACTGATGGTACCAGAGGGAGCCAGGATGGACTCTGGGCTATTGCAGTGGATAAAAGGGGCAGAAGGTCAGACAGGGAGCAGAGGGTCAGAGGTCTGCAGGGGAAAAAAGACCTCAGAGACCCCTTCTCTGACATGGGGGCGTGAGAGACTGCATTCTGCCTCATCCCATTGCCATCAACCTTGCCTCTCTCCCTGGGTCTCCCTCCTGTCCATCCTCTTTTCTCTCTCCTCCCACCAGATGCCTGCGAGCTGTCCAGTAACTGACCTGTGGCTTCACCTATGCCCCCCAGATGAATACAGCAGGAACTTGTATGGTGAGGGGAGAAGCTGGAGACTCCCAACTCTCTTTCAAAAGTAATAAAGATGATTTTCCAATCCTCGTCTCATTTGGGGGTTTGTCTCCCAACATCAGTCCCACTCCCCTCATTTCAGTCCTCCCCCTGGACCTTCTCCCACCTCAACCCCCAATTGGACGGCGTCAGGAAGGACACTTGAACGGTGGTAACTCTCACTTTGTAGTGGTATATTTAGGATTAGGTGTGACACAGTTATTTATTGCTGAGTGAGCAAACCCAACCCCCTAGTGGGGTCTGCAAACTTCAGTGCTCCCCATGCTGCCTGTGAGCTGCCAGCCCCTCTGAGCTGGCCGTCCTGCCAACACTGCCTGCACCCAGCCCCACTCCCCCTGGCTCCTAGGAATCCTCAGGTCCTCCCTTCAGGCTCCCTGTCACCTGTGGGAACCCCATCCAGACCCCCTAAACCCACCTAGGAGTGCTGTTCTTCCCCAGATGGTGCAGATCCCAGGATCCAAGGGATCCCGAGTCTCCCAACCACCCTCTTACCCCACCCAGAGGTCTATCTGTCCTAACTGGTTTTCTCCACCCCTGGAGAGATTTAAAAGGTAGAGAGGACCCTTCAGTGTTTATTCTCACCACCACACTTTTTTTTTTTTTTTTTTGCTTTTAAAAAGTGTAGGTGGAAGAAAAAAACAAAGTGGGAAAAATGTAAAAGCAAAAATTAACAACAGCTGGTGAATTCAAGGGCGAGGCCCCCACTGTCCATAAACACAGACACCCTAAACAGCTCTCCTGTGTGTGGAGAGGGGCTCTGTGCCCTCCTACTCTGGGGTTTCTGCCCCATCCCTGAGGTCCCTGTGCTTACAATTTGGATTATACCTCCCACACTATCTTCATCCTTGCTCCCCCCCTACTGAAGGTAGGACCCTGGGTCACACCATACCCCGTGGTCACAGCCCCTTGCCTGGGTCTCCCCTCTGCTCCTCCCCCTCCCTCCCCAACTTCTCACCCTCCAAGTCAGTGGCCTCCTCATCCCCACTGGGCTCCCGGAGGCTGACAGCCAGCACCAGGGCCTGTAGAAGACCAAAGAGGCAGGCAAAGTGCAGGGGGTGAGCGGTCAGTAGGCTCAGCACGGCATGGAGTCCATGCAGAGCAGCCAGAAAGGACAGTAGTCCATGCAGCCAGAGGCCCAGTGGTCCACGCAGGCCCAGGGCATCCAAGGCTGCCCGCAAGGGCCTTGAGCAGAGCCCCAGCATGGCTGAGGCCAGCAGCTCCAGCAGGTGCAGGGTCAGGTTGGTAGAGATCTGCAGACACTCCTCTGGGTCCCCCAGATACTGGCGGGGAGCCCCTGCTCCCCCACCTGTATCCCCCCGCAACCAGCCCAGCAACTTCTGACGCCGGCCAGGCTTCTCCACTAGTGCTTCAGCCACTGGGGGGCTCAATTCCTCTTCAGGGGACCCTCCAGGTTTCCCGGTGCCACCTGAGTCCACAGGATCCTGTCCTAGTTTGGGAATGGTCTCCCCAGCCTCCGGTCTCCCAGGCTCTTGGGTGCTGGAGACAATCTTCCCCCACTTGAGAGAATCCATTCTTTTGTACCCCAGTTGCTCAACTTGGGCCTCCCTGCTCAGTTCTGGAGCTGCCCCAGAGCTCCTCTGTGCACCTGAGTCCTGGGTCTTGGGAGACCCCAGATCTCCCATGGTCTCTGGGGCACTGTCCCAGTCACTCCCTGAATTCTCAGAGGAGCTGTCCATCCGTCTGGGTTCTGGGGTGGGCAGGTCAGGCCTTGTCGACTTCCGGCGGCCCCAGGGGCGAGGGAGCCAGCCACCAAGGCGTCGGAGGAACATGGCTGGGGTGCACAATGAGCCCAATTCTGGGGCTGCTTCCTGGTACGGCTTAGGCTCTTGGGTGGGGGGACAGGATTTCCTCAGAAACCAGAGTGTGTTCAGGCTCAGAAGAACAGGTATCTGCTTGGAGAGTCCTCCTCTGAACTCAGGAGTGGCTCTCCTCTTTCCAGGATGGTCATGCAGCCTGAAGTGTGGCAGGCAGCGGCTTGTTTCCGTTTCAGTTTTAAGGTAAAGAGAGGCACATTCAAATCCATTCACCACCACCCCGCTACACACACACAAGATTCCAAAAGTCTACGGATCTGACAAAGCCTGGGACACTGTCACAGTGTCCTCCCTGTTTTCCAGGTTTCTTTCCCAGCAGGCAGCACCCCAAGTTTCACTCACCAAGGCCACGCCCCAAGGTGCCCCAGAAACTGGGGAGGCGGTTCTCCATCCAAAAAGGAAGGAAGGAAGGTGGCCTCGGATCCTAGGTGCTCCCGACCGACCAGGAGAGTCCTAACTGCTGCCCTAAGGCAGCTCAGAAAGAAGTCTCCTGTTAAGTGAGTGTGGGGTGAGGTATCCGGCAAACTCCAGCCAGCAACGTTCGTGCTTTGATTCAGAGGGCTGTGAATCCCATAAAGTGGCCCCACTGGCACCCCAGCCCGCAGCTGAGATTCAATCTTCGCAAGGTCAGGCCGGAGATGTCCTGGGAGATTCCGGGAGAGAGGCAAAGCGCGCGCCTGCCTGTGGAGCCTGGCGTCCAGGCGTCCAGGCGTCCAGGCGTCCAGGCGATGCAGCCCCTCCCGAGCCCAGCGTCGGGGCCTCGGCCTCGCGAAGCCGCCCGGAGCCGCAGAGCCCGGAAGCAGCCACACCGGGACTAGAGGACAGGCGGAGGCGGAGCCCGCAGCTTGCGGGGCGGACCCTGTCGATCGACCGCCCCCCAACCCCCGCCCCCGGCCCGAGCTGCCAGTGCGCGCCATCAGTGCGTACCCGGCCATACCGCGGGGCGCACAGCCGAGGTCAAAGGAGCCGAAAGCGTGAATATAAACCCAGCTTTGCATTTTCGTCGCCTAGAGACCCTCTACCGCCAGTATCCCCTTAAGCTCGCCCGCCCCCTTTAGTCCCCTTGAGTTCTTCCCTGCATCCCGCTCCACTTTTCTAGTTCACGATTTAATGAAAGGCTTTTCCAGAAGAGAAAGCTGAGAGGAGGCTTGGGACTTGAGTAGCCCTTCCTTGCTCCTCCATGCACAGATTTTTACCTGTTGGATTTGACAACAGTGGGCACTTCATGTGCCTGGCACCTGGTATGAGCAGGAGGAACAGGACAGGAAGTGTGGGAAAGACACAGTGTAGACAAACAGGATGTGCTTCCTGCCCTTGGTTTTCAGGTATCAAAATGAAGAACCTTGGCTTACTGGGAGGCCAGAGTTCTGGTTCCAGCTCAGCCTACAGGCTGCATCATCTTTGGTCCTCCTATCACACTGCCCTCTTCCTGCAAGACCCCACCCTTTATCATTTCTGAGCCTTTCTTGACTTCCCCTATCACCATGCATTCTTTTTATCACCTCTTGTCTCCTACAGGTGTGAGCAACCTGAAGATTGGGCATGTCTCATTCCCATTCATAGCACATAGTATACAAACTTGTGAAATCAGTGATTGAATTGGCTAGAGTGGACAGAGGGTACTTTCTGGGGAAGGTCAGACTCGCATGAAAGTGTTAAGTCACTCAGTCATGCCTCACTTTTTGCGACCCCATGAACGCAGCCCACCAGGCTTGTCTGTCCATGGGGTCCTCCAGGCAAGAACACTGGATTGGGTTGCCATTTCCTTCTTGACAGGATCTTCCAACCCAAGGATCAAACCTGGGTCTCCTGAATTGCTGGCAGACTCTTCACCATCTGCGCCATCAGGGAAGCCCTGCATAGACTTGCATAAAGATGGGTAATCCTGGTTCAGGGGTTGAAAAAATAGGTGGGGTACTAAGGACAGTGGCTGGGACTAGAAGTGAACCAGACTGGCAGAAGGGCAACCTCATCGGGGCATGTAGAGGAGCTGCCTCTTCTGGCTCTGGTAGGATTTCATGTGGTCCACAACCTCGTTTGGCTTCCCTGCAACAGCTTCCAGAAAAGTGAATAAAACACCAAGAGGGAGAAAAGCTTGATTTATTTCTCAGCTTTTGGCTTTTCTACTGAAGGCAGAGTCCACTGATCAAAACCAGAAGGTGTAGAACCTGGGAAGACATCAGGAAGTAGAAGCCCAAGTGTCTAGGTTTGGAGTCCAAGTTCAGACTTCAGCAACACACCAGGGTCAGAACTTGCCCAAGTCAGAACTCGAGGTTCATGTATGTCCGCAGATCCCGCTCCCAGGCCTTGTCCTTCTCTTCCTGCCTTCTCTCCTCCTTGCGGTTCAGTGTGGTCACCCTAGGGGCTCTCTCCCTCCCAGCCACTGCCCGTGTATCCCGAGCTGGGAAATGTGTAACTCGGGGCTGAGGTGCTGATCTGTAGCCTAACCCCTCCTGGTCCCTCTTGAGGACAGTGGGGATAGGGTTGGCACGGCCCTCACCCCGGGGTCCTAGCCCCATTCCAGGCTCCCAGCCCCCCCTCAGCAGCAGCTTGAAGCCTGGGCTGGAGGTAGGAACCCCAAGTGGCAGGATGGGGGGCCGGAGATCCCGGGACAGTGACAGGAGGTGAGCAGTGGATGTATAGTGGTTAGAGTCTTGAAAGTGGGCATCACAAGTCTCACAGTACTGGGGTGAGGGGGATCGGGACCTGGAGGAAAAAAAAGAGAAAGGGTTAAGGGCAGCACAAGGGTTTAGGCCTCAGAGGTGGGTGGCAGGGTGGGACAAGGTCCTTCTAGTATTTCTGCTAAGAAACAAATTGCCTTTCCTCCCCAGTTAGCAACAGTGGACCTGAAGGAGTGGTTAAGGCCTCACAAGGTTCTTGGGTGAGAAATAATAATTACTATAGTTAACATTTGTACAGTGCTTACTATGCTATTAAATACAAGCAATGTTCTAGCATTTTATGTATATTAATCCATTTAATTAACCCTAACAACCCTATAAGAAGTATAGTCTAATTTCTTAGATGGGAAAACTGAACTTCATGGACACTAGGTTGCTTGCCCAAGAAGTACAATCAGGATTTAAACCCAGAGAGTGTGTACAACACAGAAATTTAGGAGATATTTTACAATGACTATAAATGGAATATCACTTTAAAAAATTCTGAATCACTATATTGTACACATGTAATTTATATAATTATACATGAACTATGCTTCAATAAAGCAAAAATAGATTTAAAAATTTAAATAATAATAAAAGATAAGGCTTCCCCTCACCGGTTCTCTGAACTCCTTGTCTCTCCAGGGCTCTCTCTGACCATGCGGGCCACCTCAGGGAAACCTGCTTCTTCAGCCAACTGAGCAGCATCTCTGCCCCCCAGCTCACAGACCCCTACCCAGGCAGCCCCACGGCCCAGGAGATAGCGCACAGCTTCCCCCTGGCCTGCTCGGGCAGCACACATCAGCGGGGTCCACCAGAAAGCATCCCGAGCGTTGATATTCCCTCCAGCTCCCCCTGCCTCATGGGGATCCAACAGCCTTTTTAGTTTTGCCAGGTCCCCGTCCTGGGCTGCCCTCAGTATCTGCTGCGTCATCTTGTCCTTTGCCTCAAGGGATCTCCTTTGTCCATGTCCTCCTGATGCTCCTGCTGCAGTCTCCCTCATCATTCTTCTTTTCTTTCTCTTTCTCTCACTGGCAGGCCCAGGCTGAGCTCTTTGGGTTTCAGGGGTGCTGCTCTCATCTTCAATCAAGGCTTCGTAGAAAGCCCGGGCTGCAGCCCCATCCAGGGTGGGCTCTGGCTCTTCAGGCTGTGACTGCAGCTGCCCATCTTTCCACAGATCACTGGCATCAGTGGCTGGGGTAAAGTTAATGAGGGAAGACCCAGACATGGCTTTCGAGAAATCTAGGGAAATGAGACTAGGAAGCCAAGCCCCTGGTGGTCCTGCAGCGACCAGAGTCAGTTTCAGACACCTAATGAGATAAATAAAAAGTATCCTTAGTGTCGAAAATCCCCTCCCAACCCAAAAGTGACCCCACAACCTAGGACCCTGCAGGGCCAGTAACAGACTGTTAGTAAAGGTTAAGAAAGACGTCTCCGTAAGACAGTTGCCCAGAGGCCCCGCGTTCCGCCCCTACCTCCATCCGCACCAACAATACCAGCCTCTCTGAGACAACTTTATCACAGCGTAAGACATACCATTAAGTAAAACAATCAAATTGGCTCTTTAAATCTTCCTATTTCGGGGTAAGTTCTTCTCAAACAAAAACAAACTCGACACTTCTCCGGAAGCAGATTTCAGAAAGAGGTTCCAGCCTGCGTCGCTTTGTAGCTTCCGTACTGCAAAATGGCGCTACTCTAAGCAAAGGAGCCGACAAATAATCAGACGGCATAAAGACGCATGCGTGGCTGGGGAAAAACAAAACAAAACAAATTTTCTGAGGGTGCAGGCGCGCGCAAGCGCCGGGTTGTTTCCCGCCCTGGAATGTTTCCACAGCAGAAGGACAACGCACCACGTGCCAGCGAGGCGCGAGGACTGAGAAAGATCCGTCGGTTGGGGGGGGTCCTGTTTTTACATAACGCCCCCACAATGCCCTTCGCCTCCCTCAACGTGGCCCCCGCTCCGAGCTCATTTTCTGGACCTGGGAAACCACTCTCGGGGTTAAGAAAGCCTCTGAAGCGGAGAATGCCCAGAAACCCTGAAATGAAATAACGTCACGCAGCCCCCCACCATTACTCTGACCAGGGTTCGAAGGTCGCACTTAGCGCCCACAGCAGCCCCGTTCAAGCCCTCAGAGGAAATGGAGAAGTGCAAGGGGACGAGCGGCAGAATGGCTGGCACCACCTCAGGTTAGCCCACGGGGCCGCCCTGGTTCTCACACCGCTCAGCTCAGCCCAGTACACCCTGCCCAGAACCCTCAGCACGGAACCCGGCCTCACCTCCCGCCTCCGGAGCGCGAACCCCGGAAGAAACATGGGCCCCGTCCGGGGACTCCTTGGCGGGCTGACTCCAAGGAGCAAGGCGATAAGGGCCAGGAGGGCTGGCTGGCTGGGGATGAGGTCAATGCCCTGAGTAGCAAAGTCGCGCCGAACCCTGAGGCTCGCTGTTTGATGGGAGAAGGAAGAAACAACCAGCCGGCCAAGCTCCTCTCCCCGCCCATCCCCTTCCCTCCATGGCCCCACAGTCCCCGGAATCACACGACTATATTTCCCAGGCTCCCTCGCCCAGAACGCGGTATTGAATTTCCGCTTCCGGTGGCGGCTCGCAGTGCCCTGCTGCGCCCCGCCCCCAGCGTCCCCCTCCCCCGGGGCCTCGTGACACCAGGGTCGTGCGCGGTTCATCCTGGGATTCGTAGTTCCCCTTTCCCTAGTTTCGTCAGTTTCTCCTGACCGAGGACTCCATTTCCCGGCATCCACCGCGGCTCCTAACTCTAAGCACTTGCGCGTTGCCCTCTTCCCCACCCTCCCCAGTTTCCACTCCCCCCACCCCACTTCGCCTGCCGCGGTCGGGTCCGCGGCCTGCGTTGTAGCCGTCGTCGCGGTTCTTTGGAAGCAGAAACTCCCCTTCCCCTCCCCGTCCCCTGGTCCCAGTCCCCGTCCAGTCGGTGAGTGTGGTGATCGTCGCCGCGCCATGTCCCCTGTCCCTGGGCGCGGCACATGGGGTCTCCGCGTCTTGATGTGGGGGTGGGAAAGGAAGTGACCCGGTCCGGCGCCGAGGGTAGGAGAGGTGGCCTGAAGGGTGAAGGCGGGATGTCGGGACTCCCATGAAACGGACCTGACGACCACCCCCAGGCCATGAGAAAAGGAGGGGCTCAGCTCTTGCTTGGAAAGGATAAACTTCGGAACCCCCGAGAATGGGGCCGGTGACCTGCGGGGGTAGGGAGCCTGAGCCACGGCCCTGCCGGAGTTGACACGGAAGAGAGAGGGGCCTGGCTTTCCGGAGCGTCAGGGATGTAGGTAGGACTAGTGGGGTCAAGACCTTTCGGTTTCTCACAGGTGTTGGACCCCAAAGAATTTCTCTATAATCTCAGTGAAACGGGGCTGGAATGTAAATAAGAGAAACTAGAGAGACGTGCTCCAGTCTCGGGTTCTTTAAGAAAGGGTGGCCCCAAATTCTTCCATGGTTGGAGGGCAAGGTGTGGGAGGAGTGAGGATACCAGAGGCTGGGAGGGAGAGCTTAGGCTTATACTCTTCTATCTCTAGCCGACGTGAAGATGAGCAGCTCAGAGGAGGTGTCCTGGATTTCCTGGTTCTGTGGGCTCCGTGGCAATGAATTCTTCTGTGAGGTGAGTTCTCCTCAACCCCACCATCCACCTTCACATGTAATCTGGCCACATAGCCTCCTGCACATAAAGCTTCTGCACACTTCTCTTACATACTTCAGTAAAAATTCTTGTCAAGGAGGAGTCCCCTTAATAGCTCTCTCTCTAACTTGTGGTGAAGGGTCAAGACTGGGGCCCCAAGTCAACCCTGCCACCCTCCAGCAGTCTAATGTTGGACATGTCAACCTGTGTTTTTGTTTTTTTTTTACCACAGAGGTAGTGGTAGTACATTTCTCTGGTAGCTATTAGGAGAATTAAAACGCTTCACGTTAAAATGTCTTATAGCGTGCCTGTGTGTTAACATAAGGGAGTGTAACTGACTTCAGACTCCAAGCTGTTCAGCCCCCACCTTCCTCAGAGAGCCAGCTGCCCCTCAGGAGAGGCCAAAACTGATTGCTAGAGCTAGGAACAGGAATCAGGACAGGGATCTTGAAAGGACTGACTCTGTAAGGATGGGATTGCTTCTGTTTAAGAGAGAAAAGCCAGACCTCTTCTGGGTGGGCAGTATACACGAACTGGGGAGAGAGGTTGAAGTACTTCTGCTGAGTTGGAAGTGCGGAACAAAGGGAACGAAGCAGTTGTGTTGAAGATAAGGCACGAGTTTGAGCAACCTGCCCAGGTCAAAGCTGAGGATTCTGCTATGGGTTTCCTTTTGACTTCATGTCTTGACAGGTGGATGAAGATTATATCCAGGACAAATTCAATCTCACTGGACTCAATGAGCAGGTGCCTCACTATCGACAAGCTTTAGACATGATCTTGGACCTGGAGCCTGGTGAGACAACCTCAGGGTTGGGGGTGTGTGCGTGTGTGCGCGCGCGCTGTTCTTTTCCTAGTCACACCTGTTTATCTGCTTCTTGAATTTCTAGATTTCCTTTTGGTTCTCTAACCCTTTTAACCCCAAATCCTCTACTTCATTTTGATTCCCTGCCTCACTCTTTGCCTAATTTTGTGACTTCTACCACTTGTTCTCATACTCCAATCCTATAACTTAGCACTTCTCGAAAATGCCAGTTTCTCCATGGGTATTACTTTCTTGCTTGCACTTTCCAGGTTAGAGTTCTGTTTTCTGTGTTGACATCTTTGCGTTTATTTCTTAAGGAAGGGAAGGAGGCAGAGGCTGAGAGGGACAAAAAGAAGGCAGAGCTGCCTTGGGTTGGTGGAAGGGGCAGAGGCCCATGTTTCTGGGTCAGATGTCCAGGCTGTGGGTGGGATGAGGCTCCAAGTTGGGTGCTGGGCTGAAGAGCCAGCAGCCCGTGGGAGTGGGCAGGGCACCTTAAAAAGCTGTAAGGCAAGTGGTTGCATTTGGCTGGTGCCATGTTTCAGATGAGGAGCTGGAAGACAACCCCAACCAGAGTGACCTGATTGAGCAAGCAGCTGAAATGCTCTATGGATTGATCCACGCCCGCTATATCCTCACCAACCGTGGCATCGCCCAGATGGTGAGGCCTCTCTACTCCCACTTGGTTCCTTCAGAGGCAACAGGGAAACAGTTTCCTTCAGCAAGAAGTCACTCGTTTCAACCTTGTCATGGAATCTAGCTGAGAAGAGGGGAAAGAACCCCAGAATCTGGGCCTAGGGGTTAAGACCTGATTGAGGGTTGAGGTGAAGGGGGTGTTTTTGGGGAGGGAGATAGGACCTAGAGCAGAAAGTTGTAGACTGCCTCTTCCTCAGGAAATAAGCAGTGAATGTCTGATGGTCTTCAGCCTACCTGACTGGAGGAAGGGAAGCAGAGGAGTCTCAAGGGCCATCTGAGCCACAGAAGGGGCCTCTGGACGTTAAGAGGCAGAAGGAGTTGGGGACACAGTGATGTGGGTTGGGCTGAGGAGGGGGTTGCCACTTCTCTTCATACCTACCTGCCAACTCCTTCAATTTCATTCACAATCAGTTGGAAAAGTACCAGCAGGGAGACTTTGGATACTGTCCCCGTGTGTACTGTGAGAACCAGCCAATGCTTCCCATCGGTGAGTGTTGGGAAAGGGAAAGGAAGGCCACGTCAAATGGCAGGTCTGCTGGGATGGGGTTGGGGCTGAGCAAGTTGGGGCCTGAATCCAGGAGGGAGGTTGGGCAGGCTTGGGTAACCTGGCCTGCTGAGTCTGGCTGTCTCCCAGGCCTTTCAGACATCCCAGGTGAGGCCATGGTGAAGCTCTACTGCCCCAAGTGCATGGACGTGTACACACCCAAGTCATCGAGGCACCACCACACGGATGGCGCCTACTTCGGCACCGGTTTCCCTCACATGCTCTTCATGGTGCACCCCGAGTACCGGCCCAAGAGGCCCGCCAACCAGTTTGTGCCCAGGTGGGGAGCAGGGACGGTCACCAAGGGTCAAAAGAGGTGCATGGGATCCCCCAGAAAGAAGGGAGGACGAAGCAATAGCTATCCTTGTTACCATTTTGTGTGCTCAACTTTCTGTTAGGAAATTCTCAGAGGCACAGTTTAAGTGTGGTTTATCTTCCTAGAGTATCATTTTTACTCTAGTGTAGAAAAGGAAAGTTCAGTTCTTATATTAAAACAAGTATTGACGTGTGTATACTCATGTGTGTATGTACAGACACATTTGTAGCTTTGAATTTGAGTTTTAATAGATACTTAAAATATATTTCCAAATATTCTTGAGGGAAGAAGTTGGGGAACCACTGCCCTTAAGTACTGAGCAGGCCCATGAAGAAACTGGGGTAGGGAAGAGGGGGTGCAGGCCACTGGCAGGGCCGGGATGGGGCTCACTCTGCTTCCTCTCACCTCTGCCCCAACCCAGGCTTTACGGTTTCAAGATCCATCCAATGGCCTACCAGCTGCAGCTCCAAGCCGCCAGCAACTTCAAGAGCCCAGTGAAGACGATTCGCTGATTCCCCACCCCACCTGTCCCTCGGTCTTTGACACTTTCATTCCTTTGCTGCCACCATTTCAGGAACCCTCTATGGTTTTTAGTTTAAATTAAAGGAGTCATTATTGTGGTGGGAATATGAAATAAAGTGGAAGAAAAGGCCATGGGCTGATTGGCTGGTGTTTGGGGTTGGGGAAGCGCGAGTAATGGTATGCTGGACCCCAGGAGCCCTCCTGGCCCAGCCCACTCTCCTCAAGTTGAGAACCAGCACAGATTTGTACCCAGTAGATTTGGGTGATGTTTTTAGGACTGGGTGTAGGGATGTACAGAGATCATAAGGAAAAGACAGAAATTGGATTTCAAAGACTGGAGAAATATTTACTCTTTTTGTGCCACCTATAGTTGGCTGTTTATACTCTGGGGGATGTAATCAACATCACTTTAAGTTTTATAAGGAAGGTGGTCCCAAAATAAACTGAACTGTAAGGGGTGGGGAGAAGAGGTTCAAGGTCCAGAATTGCTGTTTTGTGGTGTCTGTGTGCCCACTCCTGGGGGAGCTGAGACATGCTCATCTCAGAAGGATGAAAGTCACTGGGTTCCTGGTTTAAGTTTCTCCCAGAAAAATAGGGACTGGCCCTGTTGTGTAGGGAAGATGGCAAATGGCACCAGAGAATGAAACTAATCCATGGACCCTGGAGGGGCGGGAATAGATCTTTGAGGGACACTCAGGACAAAAGTAGACTGCTGGATTGGGGCCCAGATATTGCCCCTGTCTGGGCTACTGCTCCCACATTCAGGAACCAGACCAGGTGGGTGAGGACATGTCCTCCTGCCAAGTTAATTGCTTCCTGCCCCAGCCAGGATCCTGCCCCAGGGAGGAGTATAGCTTTGTACCTACAGCAGCTCCTGCCCAGACTACCTGTCAGAACCACCCTGCAGTTCAGGCTCAAGGAGCATGGTCATGGGAAGGTGGGGTTTCTGGGCACTCCTCAGGGACTGCCCCTCTCCCCAGAAGTCCATGATGAAAGCCCCCATGCTTATAGGTGCACTGGTCATGGTGGGCTTCACAGTGGGAAAGGGTAAGTGGGGCAGGGGCAGGGAAGGAGGGGTGGCTGAGTACAGGGAGGGTGGCGGTGGATGAGCGGGATGTTGGAGGGCAGGGAACTTGGAGTGGGCCAACACCACCATCTGTGTCTTCTGCTTCCCCAGCTCCTGTTTCTGAAGTCCGGACCTGCCACCTCTGCCTCTTAGAAGATCCTACTGTAGGATGCATTTCAGGCTCAGAGAAGTGCACTGTCAGCAGCTCATCCCCATGCATGGTGATCAGCATCAATTACGGTGAGTTGAGTCAGGCAGGGAAGGGGCCACTGGCAGGACAGCCCATGAGGTTGTCTCTTCTTGTAAATGAGGGCTGCTTGGGGCCTGAGGTCTAAGGAGATGGAGGTTTTTGGTAGGGGAGGGGTCTGGGGTTCTGGGGAGCCAATTAAGCTAATTTCTTCTGGCCTCTTCTGCAGGAGTCTGGAAAGGGAATTGGGTCTAGATGAGGGATGGGCAGAGTCTGTGGAAGGAGTGCCAGGTTTGGTGACTGTGGGAGACAGCAAGGGTTATTAGTTTTCCCTTCTTCTCCAGATAACAAACCTCGCTTCTTAATCCGAGGCTGTGGACAACACATTTCCTACCGCTGCCAAGAAAAGCTGCCCACCTACATCTCAGCGTACTGGTACTCGGCCCAGTGCTGCCAGTATGACTACTGCAACTCCTGGTACAGTCCCCAGCTCCAGAGTGCCTTGCCTGAGCCCCCTGACAGGTCCCTGGCTCTGCCCCTGTCTCAGTCCCAAATCCTGTGGTTCTACCAAACCCTGAACCTGTCACTGCCCCTGCCCAGCTTCCCTGCTGGGAAGGAGCCTTCTGAAGGCCTGGACCCCCTGGCTGACCCACCTGTGAATCTGAGTTTGTCTATTGCTGACCTGCGAAGCATATACTTGTTCCTCAACAGTTCTGGACTTTTGACTCTTCCCTGGGCTGGTCCCTGACATCTTGCCCTTCGCAGATAGATTTCTCTCTGGTCTAGCATCTCACTCCTGACACCCAGCATCATGCATTGTCTTCTCAGAACACTCACACCCTTGGGTCTGTAAGTTCTCAGTCTTCCTTTCCTTTGTCCTTCCAGTGTCTATATGGTTTTGGTCTAGTCTCCTCCCCCAAAAAAGCAGCTGGCACTGCACCCAGAACCCTTTGACCACCTAGAAGATAATCTCAAATGCGGATTCTGCCTAGGCTGACCTGGGAAAGGCACAGTGGTTTTCTCAATACTGTCCTGTTATCGGAGTGTCCCATCACCCCCATCTTCCTTGATCTCTCTCAATCTGGCTATTTCCAGTCTCCTATACCTAGCTCTGAAAGCTTGTGCCAGACCAAACTTGCATCAGAAAGGGTGAAAGCTGGACTTCCGTGCAGGTTTCCTGACTGAGCACTGTGGTGCCCCTCCTTCACTGTCTACCACCCGTGCTCCTGCCTGGTCGGCTGCCTGCTCTCATCTCTTATCCCATTCTCTGGCTTCTCAGCTCCACTTCACATCTCTGAGCCATGACACCCACTTGCACAGATTCCCAGGGAGAGGAGGGGGTCTGTCCTTTGTTCTGTACTCCCCAGTCCCCCTCCACAATAAACAAACTGGCCAGAGTCTGTGTCACATTTTTGATGGGGGCAGGCTCAGGTGTGGGCAAGTGTAGACAAGTTAAAGGTAACTGGACGTGGGGTTCAAACAGTGTTGCAGAGCCCTGCCCACTCCACTTGGCCTTGTGGCTTCCTCAGTGGCCTGCCCCAAACAGCCCACATCCATCCCACCCTCTGCTCGGCTGGAGATCAAAGTATGAGGATTATGAATCTTGCCAGCCTTGAACATACCCTCCAAAATCTAGGAAGTTCACAGGTGATGTCAGGTTTTTCCACAAGAAAAAGGAAAAAAACCACCATGAAAACACAAGAGCAGACACACAGGTCTGCATCTCTGAGTCACCTGGAGCTGAAGCACCTGCGTTCTTTTCAGGATCCTGGCAGCCAGGACCGGCTGTGTGGGAAGTCTAGGGGAAGGGGGTGAGGGAGTACAGAGTACACAGGTAGGGCTCCAGAGAGAGGCTCTTTGATTTTAATTTGAAGAACTGCAAGCATGCAGAAAGCGGTAATGAATTTTCATAACTCAACCTTCCCCATGCATTCAGTACACACTGGACACACCACTCTGAGCCAGGCCTGGTATTAAGAAGCACCAGGACATGCAGATGAGTACAGCCAGGTGTCCACCCCTCCGAATCTGGTGACCCAGTACCAGAATTATGAAACATTCTGAAAAGCAGTGCACCTCTGTGGCTGGGAGGCCCAACCCCAGCTCCTCCGTCACTTGGATAAGTTGGTCTCGGCCTCACTATGGTCACCTCTCAAGTAGAGAGTGTCTCAGGATTGAGAGAATGTGTGTGCACACAAATAGAAGTTATGGGCTCGAAAACAGATATGCCTTAGAGACAGAGCACACTGATTTTGCCCCATTTAGTTTTAAACCATTTTGGCCATAGAGATGTTTGCACACTTTTAGATGGGTTTTTGTAAACTTACACACCTGTATTACACCATTTGCCAAGTTAGCATAAAGGCCTTTATCAGCACCCAAAGCTGCCTTCAGGCCCCCTCTTAGACCCTCCCCTGTCCCAACCCTTAGGAGTAGCCACTGTCCTGAATTTCGTCGTGTTCTTGATAAAAGTGACATCACGCAGGATATACTCTTACCTATACAACATTTTGCACTTAGATCTCTGTGGCCCCTGTAACTGCCTGTGTGCTAGTGGGAGGAACCAATGTTTGTTTCTAGATAAGGAAGCAGTTGGAGGTAAAGAGGTACAAGCCACTATGTTCCTCTTTTGCCTGCATGTTTTCCGCCATGACCTTTGACTTCAGTATAGGTCAAAGGCCCAGCTCTGTACAGCTCTAGCAAGTCAAACTGGAAGGCAGCCTTAGAGGCTGAGAAGCCCAAGGCCTGAAATTGAGGTGAGTTACCATGATCCTTGAAAAAGGAAATTAGCCTGGGATTAAAGAGGACACTAGGCCTTGCATCTCTCCACAGAACTCCTTCCCCACCATCTCCTCCCTGGGACTGGTTCTTTCACAGCTCCACTCCCACCAGCATACCCCCATGGACTTCCTGGCCAGTCCCCACCAGCTCTGGGTCTGACAGCATTTCTGAGGACATCCACTACCCTTCTGGTTTTAGCCACAGGAGGGCTTCCAGTTCCTCTTGTCCTGAGAGCTGAGTCAGACACAGCAGGGCAAAGCAGGAGCTGAGCTCTGCAGGTCGGGGAGCCCCTTTCCTGCCCCCGTGATGGAACAGTCAGGTAGTACCACATCCCTCAACCTCCATATCCACCAGAAGAGAGAGGCAAACCAGACAGTTTGTTCATCTATTTATTTTGGAGGAACAGCTGGGGACTTGGGGAGAGAACTGTTGTGGGAAAAGAAACGAAGCAGGGCAAAGAGGTATCCTTGAGGTGGGAACAGACAGGAGGAAAGATGTTAGATTGAGGATTCTGGAGAGGTAAAGTGGGAAGGGGCAGAGTGGAAATTGAGGGGTATTGAGGGGCATCAATCAAGAGGCAGATAGGGCTGGGGTCTAGTAACTGACGCTGAGGGTGGCAGGGAGGGCTGCTCAGGGGAGGCTGGACAGTACCCCAACTGTCCCCAGGTGGAAATCAGGAGGACGGCTGGAAATTGGCAGGATTGTACTCCTGAGGTCTCACAGAAATTCTAAGAAATATATGTCATTCTGTTCTGAGGGTTATTGCAGAAATTCTGGAAGCAGCATCGAGAGAATATCCAGAAGCCAAACACTGGAGAGGCGCGGGTGTATGAGCAGTCACTCATCTGTTCCTTGCTCCGGCAGTCACTCACCATGATCTCAAAACCACTGTCTGGGGACAGACAGCAGCAATCAGTGACATGGAAGTCCCAGGCAAAGCCCCGAGCCCTCCCATCCCCTCATGCCACAGGGACTGTGGCATCACTGACTCCATACCCTACCCTGGACCCCAGAAAGGCAGATCCCCGGAACTGGACAGGGTCAGGGAATGCCAGGGAATCACCAGCCATGAACTCTTTGGAAGATTCCCATAGAAGGTTGGTGGGAAAGAGCCATTCAAAACACAGTGTCAGGGACTTCCCTGGTGGTCCAGTGGCCAAGACTCTGAGATCCTACTGCAGGGGCCCTGGGTTTGATCCCTGGTCAGGGAACTAGATCCTGCATGCTGCAACCAAAAGATCCCACTAAGCAACTAAGATCCCATGAAGCAACTAAGACCTGGTGCACCTTAAATAAATAAATGTTTTTTAAAAAATTCCTCTAGGAGAGTAAAGAGGAAGACAGCAAAAGACCAAAATCTGGTGAACATGAACTGTTACAGCTCCAGAAAAAAAAGGCAAGACTCAGTGAAGGAGGCTGAGAAGAAGTAGTGGAAGATGTAGTAGAAAAATGGTGCTGGCAGGAACTACCGCTGACAGATGGGGAGAAGGCAGCCCAAGGAAAGGCCAGTGGATCTGGTGAACTCCAGGCCTGCAAGGATGGGTGTTATAAGGAGGGTAAGCCAAGAAGGGAAGAGGAATGGAAGTAGCGATGCGGAATAACTGTAAAGAAAAGGAGAGAGAGAGGGAGTGGTGGAACAGTATCTTAGAGTTTGGGAACCAGTTTGGGTACAGCTTAGAAGGCTGGTGGATACTCAATTCGGGAATGGACTGGGCCCAAGATGAAAGGAAGAGGCAGCTTACTGTTCCTTATGAGCAGAGTCATGCAGCTGCTGCCCTTTGGGACAAGGCAGGTGTCAGATCCCAGAAGGCATCCGAGCTCCTTGGTCTCAAAGAGGCATCGATAGCAGCTTAGGTATTTGTTTAAATGTTCTGGTTTAATGATTCCTGGATCATGCAACTCAGACTGACCTGGAACACAGAGAAGCACTGACCCCAAACCCACCTAGTTCCCAGACTGGTCAACCCCATTGTTCCCTCCTACCTCCCTACTCAGAAAACCATAAAATCACCAATTCTTGAAAACCATCAGGCTTAATCTAACATCAGAAGCTTTAGTTCTCATAAAAAATCTCCACTCTTTACTCTCATACCTCCTGAAATGAGGAACTCATTCATTCAACATGCATTTGAGGGGCTAACATGCTTAGCACTCTACAAGCCTCTAAATTTAAAGGTTAGGCCAAAGCAGGTCATTCCAACTTTTGGCAGCCCTGTTAAGACAGTGTTTCCTCTGTGACTTGGTTTCACTGTTCCTCACCCAACCCCCAGACTCTCTTTTGAATATGCTTTCTTAATCTGTAATGTTCAGAGTGTGAAAACCTCAGAGCGTATCATCACAGGACAGGAAGAATCTCTCCTTTCTGTAGCCAGGAGGCTTCAAACAGCCCAGGGCCACATTCTTTGTTTGGTTGTCCTTTCACTGAACAGACTCATGAAACTTTGTCCACTAAAGCCCTCCCCAACTACCCCATATTTATCTCCCTCGTCCTCTGGTCCCGGGCCCAGATCACATGTTACTGTGCCCCCAAAACCCACTTTCAGACCCAGCAGAGCACTTGCTATGAGGCAGGTGCTGAGCAAACACTTTGGATCTGGTTTCTGTGTAGATGGTGCTTTGCAGTCAAGTGGAGTTATCAGGCTGAACTTAGCCTTGTTCTACACTGTGTATCCTGAGGCTGTCATCTGGCACGTTCCCCCAACCCTTCCCATTCTGTATTGCCCTCAGATTCTCAGAGATTCCCCTTAGTATATCCATTCAGGTTATTGCCGTTGAGTGAGACAGCCTTGGGGTAGTCACCAGAAATCTCCCTCAGAGTGAATATTAGTCTGTTATCAGTCCCCAAGCATTATCCCACCAAGCCCACCCATCCCATCTTTCCTCCTCCCTGGTTTTACCTGAATGTCCTTGGTACATGTATTCAGATACTTGGTATCAGGGTTTCTGTATCCGGCAGGTTAGGAAACC